TGAATATCACACAACAGCCATGGCCAAACTCCTGATTGAGCCAGACAGACAGAGTTATTAAGGCTAAGCCCGGTGTTTATGGGCGAATGATTTCAGCCGACCTGAAAATCGATAAAGGACACCTCAAGGACCATTTTCATAAGAACAAGCTCGTGTTGCATAATAAGGTTTCTACAGCTTCGACATGGTGATTAATTATGTTCAATACAGGGTGTTGAGCTGAGTCATTAAGTTTGTGTAGAGAAGCCTAAGCTGCTTAATACCTGTCTTAAGTTCAAAGATGACTTTTCATCTCAGATAACATTCTAGCCTGAAGTCCACAAATCTTTTTGAATTAATGTAGTATCATGTATGTCCTTGATGAGACATTATTAATCACACTATTAATCACACTTTCTCACAGGGTCATTGTTAATGTATTTCTCAGCTAGTCACACATGGGGCACTGTGGCAGTGGGACACTGATTTCAAGCCTTTTTTTTCCAACTACAGGCTCTGACTGTGGCATTCACAAATGGTTCAAGGATAACAGTTCTGCAGGTGTGTACTACTCAAAGATGGTAAAAGCTATATTAATCCATCCTCATAACAGACTTTTTGCACATACTTCCCTTTCTATGATACACACAACTGTGAAACATAAGGGCAGATGAAGGGTTTGGCCCTTTTCTAAGGACAAGGACGCTATCACGTGCACTCCACAGAAGTCATGAAGTCATAAATCAATTTTTTATTTCTTTTTTTTTTTATTTGTATATACCCTGGCCAGCCTCTAGATACACAAACCAACACTTCAAACAATCATTTCAAAGTTAGTTTCTTAACAACATTCTGAAATGCATCCTATATGACTTACTCGTCTCTTTTCTGTTTTTACCAACAGTTTTTCTTTTTTAGTGTTCTCTATTGAAGCAATCACTTAGCAATCACTACAGTATCTGTGATACATGATACAATTATTTTGGTCAATCTACCATATCTGATAAACCATAAGATAATTAGGTCTGTAAATTACGATCCACTGAGATTGTCCTAATATTGTGACATAGGTTACTTGAAATCATGGTAACCACAAAAGTTTAATTCCTCAGCTCAAACAACTACTTAGCACGTATTGATAAGAATATACCATTTATCATTTTAATTTTTATTGAATTTATTATATCCCTCAAGGTGTCATAATAGTCTGCCTTTTTTTCTTTTAATACAGGCCCCTTTCCACAATAACGGTTTCAAAATAGAGAGTTCACTGCAAACAGGACAGCTTGTCACTCCATAAAACTGTGAAGCTGTAGGACTATAACAATGAATATTTTTATGTAAAATTATAAGCAGTTGAATCTGGTGGTTACTCTTTTCATTTAAAGATATTTCTACAAAGTCTGTATGCCCACTTTGTTGAAACAGCAAGTCAGCTCTTCTCGAGACATGAAATTATTCGGTGTTGCCATTTGTCTACCACTGCTTCTAAGGTACAGACTTTTGTTACCAGCTGCATGGTCCTTTCCCTTTACTTATTGCTCAATGTTTCATTCTAAATGCTCCTGTGCACTTTATTGTATAGATTGTTCCTCTATGTAGCACCTTGGTCCTGGAGGAACATTGTTTTATTTCACTGTGTATTCTACACCACTGGCGATAAAAAACACTTGATTTTACTTTTATTTTTACTTTTTTTTTACATACAGCATACGTGATCACAGCTGTTGGTGATCAAGCGGGAGTTGGTATACTTGTGTCCAAGTGCAATTGTTACGATGTTAAAGACAATAACTAAAACTTATTATGAGCTTCGGAATAGGTCTTTCAAAGCATGTCAATCTGGAACAAACATGACACAAAAAGAGCATTTATGAAGGCTATGAATCTGACCATTCATGAGCAGAAATTCACAGGTGGTCTCAAACATACACGATGAGCACAAAACAACTTTTCCATCAAAGCAGTGTAACAAACAAGCAATGGAGGAAGATTATTGTTGTGTTGGTGTGCATGGATGTGCATGGACTATGTGTGCAATAACTCTGTGGCAAGCTACGTGCAGTCAGTGCATCATCTATAGATATCTGGTCTCTTTCTCTGTTTGTGCATGTTTATTAGAGATACCATACATGGGTCAATCCCCATCTGTGTGTCCTGTTCTGGTTAACAAAAACTTAATGTGCATTAGGTTGAACAGACACCAGCATCAAGTCAACTCAAATTAACATTACTCTCTAAGCATTATCACCATAAAAACTCAGTGAAAAAGAGTCAGTGGGATACAGTCAGAACATAGCATGGCTAATGCTTAGATGTGTGGCACTGAACCTAATTCTAATGTCCTGTGTGTTTGGTTGTCACCACAGTCATTGAAACAAAGGTTTGGAAAAACTCCAGTGTCCAGTTAACACCCAGTCTTTGATGTGGTTCCCCCGTGAGCTCTGGAAGAAGGATTCTGGTCCTGTTGGAGACAGTGCTCAGATGAATGGCTTCTGTAGAGAAAGTGCCCAACGCAGATGATTTTTGGGGGGGCTCTAAATCTCTCACTGTTTCTATAGAAAATTGGAGTTCACATATATTTTTGGGGACTTTGGGAGATCATAGAGGACATCTGATCAATGTGAGATAAACTCAGGAAACCCTGTAAAATGCCTACATACAGGCTTGTTCACTCTGTTTCAGGTTAAAAGCGAATAATAGCTAATATTTCCAACATGATCATGTTATGAAAAACAAAAGTGTGATGAATTTTGCCTTTAGAGGTTGAGTTTCTCTTATTCATTTGCAGCCACATTGCAACGAATTTGCAGTTATTTCTGGATTGAGGAGACAAAATGTTTTTGCAAAATGCCACAAAACTGCATCTCCAACTTGCACTTCAGTGCCGTTATATTTACTTTAGTGGTACATTATCTTCTCTTAAAATTTGAAACCCAAAGTGTAGCAGAGGCAGTATTAGCAGATCACACGGGTGAAACATGGACAGAAACAAACAGCCTGCATTTTAACAACTCTCTTTCAGCAGTCTGTGCCTGTAACATAGAGAGGTGTTAGATTTTTTCCTGAAGCCACATCTCAATTTGAAAGATATTGGCTTCCTGATATTCTTGCTGTGTCCTCATCAGGAGTCCAGGCTTGTCCATTTTATCTGCCAGGGATTTCAGCTTCCCATTATGACTAAGGGAAGAAATTGTTGAAATATGTTTTTTCACCAACTTCTTCAATTTTGTTCCTGCTCTGCATTCCAGATTTTTTTTCCTCAACTCATATTTATATGTGTTTTGACAGCTCAGATAGTTTTTCAAACAGGTAAACAACTTCACTGTCCATCATTTATAGGTATCCTTTACACAACAATGTTTTTACCTAAAAAATCTATTTATATTTGAAAAAACTTTTAACCAAATTCAAGAATGTTTGGACCAAAACAATCCATGACTGTAGCCCACAAGCAATTTCTATTAGCAGTGTTGAGATATAACCATTAAATTGCTGAGATGGCAAAAAAGATTAATAGTACCTTAAAAAAGCATTTTATTCAAACAGGGAAAGCAATGGTAAAACACTCAAAAAACATATTTAAACCTCCACTATTCTATGTTTTTAACTTTTGGTTGACTTGTATTGAATCCAACAAATAACAAGGTAAATGTTGTTGTATTTTGACAGTATGAATAACAACATGATTAATGTTAATGTGCTGGTCATTTCAGTGTTGGCTGTACTGTCAAACGTACTGGGATATTTGAGCATACTTTTCTGTTTTTGAGGACTTTGAGGTTGCTGGTGTACTGTGAACTGTTGAAGCTGTTGGGCAATAACCTAGTATGTCAGATGGATTTCTGTGCAGAACCATGTGGGAAGTGTTGCTTGAGAAGCTTGATGCTTTCAAACAAATCTTGGCAGGTGATTAGATGAACTGAACTATAGCAAGGGGGTGAAAGCATTGGATAAAAATCAAAAACATGTTTCTTTTCTACAGCAAATTAATTATGCATAACATCTTCTGGAACTGAAAATAATGGGAATTAAAAAACTGTACCATTTTGTGCAACAAGAAGGAGGAGGTGAATGTGTTGCCCAGTTCAAGTTAAATTAAAGCAAATTAACAGACGCTAAATTGTTTTTAATTGTGTTTGTTGTTGACATGTTTAATTAACACGTGATCAACTGAAATGTACAACTACATATAGAAAAATGGGCGAGTGAAATAGAAGTGAGCAACCAGGCAGGAAGACTGGAAAGCTGAGGTGCAAAATTGGAAAACTGGAAAGGATGACAAGAAGGTGTGAAGTGGGACTGCTGAAGGCGCTGTGGTGCTAGATCCAAGTGTCGGTTGTGGGCCAGCATGATTATACACTGGAATTACCAGCAGGAGAAGGAGGCATTTGTGATTACTCTCTCTCTCTCTCTCTCTCTCTCTCTCTCTCTCTCTCTCTCTCTCTCTCTCTCTCTCTGGGATGTTTTTTTCTTACATAAATTGACATCATTAGCTTTATTGAGGGAATGTATTGGGGCTGCTGAAAGATATGGATTAGTTCCACTTTGTTTAATTCTCTGAGGCTCAGAAGAAAAAGAAAAATCGATATGACAAATCAAGTGTCAAACTCTTTGGCCGATTGAAGGGGCTCGGTGGAAGCACACAGCAAAATCTCTATCTTGTTCGAATTAAGGGGGACGCAACTCGGTGGCATCAGGGAATATCTGACTTCGGAATAAAGAAGCCCCGGCGCAACTTTGGGTGGCGCCAGAACGCAAGGAATCAGAAAGTGAGCCGTACTCATCGATTCATCCTCCACCGGGAATCGTTTAGTGCCTTTGGCCGTCTCCACATCGCGGCGGATGATGTGTGAATCCTAACAGCTGCTGGTTGGATGCACCGCGTCCTGGGAATGACGATCAGGTCACATCGCTGAGGACTGCGCCCGTCTCATCCACTTTTTTTCTCCGCTTTGGGAAAACGTTTGGCATTTGTGGGCAGGGATCCCTGCCTCGGAAAAAAAACAAAAAAACAAAACATGGGCAACTTTGTCACCAGCGCGAGAGAAAGTGAGCCAAGATAAAGTGGGAAGATCATACGTAGTGCTCGGGAACCCGAGTTGCGATCCAATAGCTTTGGAGATTAGAGTTAACAACGTCTCAAGGACACTAACAACAGGATTAAGCATCGTGCAGTCCAACCAATTTCTTATCACTCCCACATCGCGTCTGAATATTTTCGCTATGACCTTTGGTGCACTTGGAATACAGTGGTTGCGCCCGTGAGGTAAGCAATGATTACACTATCTTTCATTTGTCTTAAAGATATTTGGATTAATTATGTGAAGTTGACCCAGAGAGATCCACTCTGAATGCATTCATTTATCTTGTCATATGTGCTGGCTCTGATCGAGCCTTTACGCGCAGGTGCACTCGCGTTATTTTGAGTTGTGCCATCAGAAAAAGGCAAAGTGTTGGTGGTGGTTTCTCTCTTATAGTGCACACTGCATAACTTTATGCAGGCGATCTTAACGGTACCCACAGTCGCTTTGTGGATGGGTCCCTTGACACTCCAGAGTAATTGTAATTTGAAGAAAGTGCGCGTGTCCTGCAAATCAAATCAATAATCGACAGACCATGGATGTGTTATTGGAGATTTAAGCACCACTATCACAATACCTCAACCTCTCCTGAGTATAATCACATATATTTCTTACAATCAGAAAATGGGGTCGTTCGTTCCTTTTTATCCCCATCGCACCACAGATCCTAGAAGAAATTAAGTAAAGCTGGAGAGAGAAAATAAAAAAGAGCCAGAGACAGTGTGCAAGCATAGCTTACATCGTGTTGACGTTTTGAATCCATACATCTGTTATTATAGAGTGATGTTACATGGATTTAAACCTCTTTCTGTCTTGGAGACCTTTATCAGGACCATCTTAAGTTTTAGAGTTTCTACACCACATATTTACGGATTGAGTGTGACACAGGACTTTTGTGTCAGGGTTGGCCAGAATCAGTCACATAGCTATATTGTCTATTGAAGTAAATACAAGGGTATTTACAGTAAGCATTAAGAAATGTCAGATTATACAATTCTCCAGGGACTAAAATATATAGTTCTTATCCTCTTATTTACTCTCATCTATGTATCCTTAAGGATGCTCCAGTTTCTTGTAGCTGCAGATTTGGGTAATGCATGCAAGGTGTCTATGGAGTATTTTTTAAATGATTGCTACAGGATTTATCAGTCTAGGTCTGGGCTCGAGCTATCCAGAAGCAAACATTTAAGAAATGAAAGATGACGAGAAAAATGTGGTCCTGGCCAGCGTAACTCAATTGATATTCTGCCTGTGTCCTGCTCCATAGGCAGCCCATTGTCATGGCTCACTCAGTGGAATAGCGTCTGATGATTGAGGTGTTTGGAAAAGGGTTGAAAGCCAGTTTGAAAAAGAAACTAAAGGTTAATTTATTGACAGTTGTAAATATGTCCTCCCAGCAAAGGTTAAAGATGCTGTGTGTTTGCATTGATTTGAAAGTTGCATGTAAATGCACCCAAATATGCAAATGAAAAAAAAATACATTCTTCGTGATGTAGCTATTCTAGTTTCTATTGTATTGCATGTTTTATGCTACTAGCGTATTTGTTGATTGAACTCACACCCATTTGTCTTCTGAAAATATCAAATACTCTAATTTAAGTTAAGAATTGGCTAAATAAAGCCAGACAAGATAAATCCCTCATGGTTGTTGGAGTTTCTCTAGCCCTACGCGTCAGGAAAAAAAAAATTCAAAGCAAGAAAGATGGATTTCAACTTTCAAAGGGTTGAGTCTCTCTGACGTCAGGAGCAACAGTGCCACTCTGTGTGGCCACGCAGCCTGTGGATAATTCATGGCCAGCCAAGCAGAGAGATTTATCTGTCATGGCTGCATGAAATTGCAGTGGTCTGCAGTATTCTGACCAGGGTTGGTGAGAATGACAGATCCTCCGCTGTGTTTTGAGATTAAGGAAATCAAATTCAGAAAATACTGAGAACAGATGGTAAACTACATTTTATGAGCCCAGAAAGATCAAGGCTGGAAGCAAATAAGTAGAAAAGAACAACAACGAGTCAATGCATCAGAATAATAAACAAATTAATGCAGACCTTGAACAGTGCCATTGAGTTCAACAAATGAAGTGTAAAACTATGCAAGTGGGTTAGTTAGTTTTTTACTCTCAGCTCAACATTGATTTTTTTTCAAACTCTTAAACGATTGCTCTTTCTTTTGCCAACTCTTGCTGTAAGAGTCATTGTTAATTCATTTTCCACTTGAAGGAAATCTACTCAAAACAAGACACTCCGATTGTAATCAGATATGACCAAAGTGGAGTGTGAAACCTCCTCACTTATATCATATTATAAAAGTACAGACAGAGGGAGTTGCACAGAAAAATTGTTTAGTATCTTTCACCTAAGGTCAAAGTCATATGTACTGTACAGGGAAAGAGAGCAGAGTGAGAAGATGTGCACCATGGATGGGCACTCAGCAGTCTAGACCTCTGGCAGTACAATTATATGCTGTTTCAGATTAATAATTTATGGCTCTGCATTCTATCATATATGGAAGCTCAACCAAATTTGCAGTCTATGACGAAAGGGATGGATGGATGGATGGATGGATGGATGGATGGATGGATGGATGGATGGATGGGTTTTCTCTGTGTATATGATGACAAAGTGGAGCTTTAAGAATTTATTTTCTAGAACTTTACACATAGAATGGAGGGTGGATATAGGCTTAGAAATAACTTTTAGTCCTCCAAAACTCAATGTTTAATTACAGCAAACTTAGAAGAATGTATCCTGTTAACAAGACAGGTTGAACTAATTAACTATGCAAGTGTTTTTATGGGGAAAATCTCATTAAACAATCTAGTGGGAAACACAGGCTTCACACAGGTTTATGGTGTAGAAGTAGCAGCTGTTTTTAGCTCAGAGATTGAAACAGTCTAAGTCCAATTGAATTTAATGATATATCAGTGACAATAGTTGGAATCATTCTGTAAATTCTCTATCTTAGCATGGTTCAACAGCGCTGGGTCTTTTAGTCCGGCTGGGGTGCAGGAAAGAAGCCTATTTAAAGCTGTTATGGTTTTGCGTTTTTCTGCCCTGGTTTGTTCGTTTCTGTGTTGCATTTTCTTTCAGTTATTTGTATTCATGTACATTCATTCTGTTAGTTCTTTTTTTATTTAATTTAGCCTCATCCTTCTATATTCTATTGAGTTTTATTTTCCTCTCTAGTGTTGTCCCAGACCCTCAGTTCTGATTGGCATGCCGTTTCCTAATTTTCGATCCCCTGCAGCAGTATTTTATGGAAAGGTTTTTGTTCATTGCAAAATCCCTGCTGTTTTAACCATGGTCTAAAGTCCACTGAGACGTGGTGCTGTGGTTCTTGGTTTCTGTCAGGTTCTCTAATCTCTGTGCAGTTCTTCCTACCTCCTGCTGTCTGCTGAGCCTGCCTTTTTGGGTCATTCTCCTCCTTAACCTGTTACATAAACCTTTAATTGCTAATGGGAATAATCTGTATTGCCCCCTGACAGACTCATATTGTTACAATAAGTGTCTGACGACATTAAAATGAAATTTAATCAGCTAATGTTCATTCTCATCTCGGCTCTCTAACCTCATCCCTTCTATATTTTTTCTACAATCCTCTGCAAACTCCAGCTCTAATTAATGGTGATGTCTGTCAAATTCAAATGCCTACTCCATACAGTTAAAAAAGACAAGTAAATATTACATTTTGGTATGTAGACTCAAATACACCAATTCTAATGAGTCAGATTTGATTAGAGTTATGATGTTAACATGTCCCATGATAGGAAAACACAGAGGTAATGCTCCAATACCAGAAGAAGCAAACACAAACACAAATGTCTGAATCTGTTGGCATCATTTTTAAAGAGTCAATTAAAAACTTAGTTTACTGAGGAACTAATTTTCTTTTGATTTTGGATGCTCCCATAGGGTTTTGCGACCTTACAATGCTGAGAGCAACATTTCATCAGCTTAGACTTAATATGTTGTAAATTTATAGCTGAAAGCTTGTAGCTGCTTAGGTCGTTGTAGAACATGATGAAAACTCTTGGCCAGGAGATTTATTTAAAATCTGTGTGCAGGCCTCCATTGAAGCATGAAGGTAGAGAGTGACTGCATGAAAAAAACATTATTTCGTAAAATAAATAGTATTCTTTTATGGTAAGGAAACTTGATAGAAATGTAAAAGGCCACGCACAGAAATACATTGCACAGTTACTATCTCATTTTCTGATGCAAGGTCTCTCCACCTACCTAAAATATTTTCTCACCCTTTTTTTTACTTTCAAAGATTACATATTCGTTTTCTTCCCTCGAGTTGTAATAAATTAAAGGGTTTTTTGAAAAAAATGAATTAAAACAGTTCTAAATTACAAGTTTATTTAGAATTCAGAACAAATACCTCTCACTGTGTCCTCAAGCACAGTGACATAACATACAGAGATTCAAATAGAATGGTTATGGGCCCTTTTCTCCTCAGTTAATGTGCTTCTACTCTCTTACACCAGTAACTACTGACAGAAAACTGTGTGATGTGGGCAGAATTAAGCTTTTGGTGTTAGGTATATGTAGGTGTTCTAAGCACTCGACTGAATTCACTGGTTTCTTTAGAATGTGCTGCCAAAATGAATTACCCCACTGTTGTTAAGAAGTGTAATTGCCACCAGTAAAGGATCGTGATTAGCTCCCCTGTGTGTGTCTTCTTAAGCTTTGCGAGTGCCTGCCATGGGTAACCTTTCTTCCATGAAACACTCCTCAGATGTGTCTGTGAATAATAAAGAAGTTGCATAAAACTTCCTCCTCTTTGCAGAATTGACCATAGTAGCAGCAGTGTGGAAGTGCATTACCAACTTACCCTTAATGCCAGCTGCAGAGGCCAAAAACGAGTGGTTGCTATGCTGCTTGTATATGGGTCTTTGCACATTGATTCATAAATTAGAAAAAGGGTAAAGGACATTTTCTGTTTACTTGCCCTTCTGTTTGTCCATT